CTTGTGCACATTCGTTTATTCGATAAAAATAAGTTTTCTATAATTCGAAAACAATTTTTTTTAAATATTTGCTTAATTTGCGCTTCTTCAAAATTAATTTTTTTATTTCCTTTAAATTTTACCTCCTTCTTTCAACTATTTACTAGTTAAAATGACGGGAAGGGATCTGGAACTCAAGAAGACCGTCGCATATACATGTTCTTCCCCATACATATACATAGAGTTTTTTTACTGTTTTTTGATAAACACTGCAAATAACCTAAATCATTCATTTACTCGAAAAATTCTGAACTTTTCCGTTGCAAAAGAAAAGTCATCTAATTACATATTGGCATAAAACACCGCAAGAGGAAGGAAGGAATGAACTGAAGAGATAAGAGCTGGAAAACAAGCCACTGGCAAAAAAATGGGCTGGTCGTTTGATTGAACTGCCTGTTTAGAGGTACATCAGTGGCTGTGGAAACTGAGACCCCGTTAGTGTTGTGCACGTTTCTATTCTGGCCAGGAAAGCGCGTTACTCCTCTCCGCTGATGAAGAGAACCAATGCAACCAGAGTTGGGCTTGCGAGGATTCTCTCGCCAGGTATCACCCGCAACGGGCACCAAGCCCGGCCGCAGGCCAAGCCACTAAAGCTTCCGATTGTCGTTCCTGCATGTGTTTGGTAGTGTAGTGCATGCAAATGTATGTGTGGGTAAGTGAGGGGTGAGAATAAGGTCAAGAAGAGAAAGGAAACATGCTGCGCGTGGTCCGTGGCCCGTTTATTAGAGCACTGCTTCGAAATGACCTGTATTGGATAGAAGAAACCACCGAAACAACAATCGACAGACAACCGGCCACTAGAATTTTCTTCCAGACAGCGGCTAAATTCGACCTAGCAATTTAGCTAGAGTCAAATAAAACTGTCCCCTGTCCGTCGAGACTCGAATCTAAGACCTTTTGTTCAGAGCCGCTGCAAAGGAAACGAAAATACTCTAATCCAAAAAACAGCCAGTTAAAATATTATGGAGAAGGCGCATACCTACTGAAAGGAGCGGGAAAATCCGTGTGGCAACGATAATAATACAATAACTAATGAATAATAACTAATGATATAACCAATAAACATATCTATATGTGAAAGCAACTTTTCTTGATTTAAGCGCCTCACAACGACTCCACTTCCGCCGGCAACTTCCCTTCCTCACCATCATTTCGACATGGTTCAACACAGCCATTCGGGATTTGGTACTTAACGATTGCGTCAGTCATTGGGATAATCGTGGATATTGTAGAACCGTTTAAAATCATGCACCGGAGAGTTTTCATACGCTCTGTCCTGAGAGAGGGGCCCATTCTCTTTCGGCTTCGGGAAGACAAGCCCTCCAGAAAAGATTGTTCGGTGTAATCAGTGCATGGTGCCTTCGGACGCTCAAAGTCCTGCTGCGACACGATTGATAACCTCTCACAAGTGTATCCTCTCTCACTTTGGTAAGCGTAATTCCGCTAGCAATGGATTAGAGAGGAAAGATCTCGCGCAGGGTCGCGAACCCGTTTATTAGGGTACTGGTGGCCGGCTTTCGCCTGGTGTGGGGAAACAGGAAAGCATATCGATCAGAGAAATCCAGTCGCTGAGACCCTTCCCCTCACCAGAGACGATAACTTAAATTCGACCATAGGGTCTCAAATTCTTAATCTACCGTCGGCAACTGAATCCTAGCACCCCTGCCAGTCGTTCACTGCAGCTGACATCAGTGAGGCCTGAAGCTTTTCCATGGCCTGAGTCACCCAAGCTATAGCGTGGCAAAATGTTTCAGCATGTAAAAGTTTTACTACATATCTGTCGAAAAGCAGCAGTTTCAAGAATCCCTTTTCTTTGATAATTTCCCAAACGACACGGTGATTCCAAAATTTTCTTTTCGCCAGCACAGGATTCATCATCACAGGCAGAAGGAATGTGTTTATAATAGATGGAAATTGTTTAAGATTTTCATCTGAAGTCGAGATAAAATATTATCTCAATTATTCATGAATATTAAAAAGAAACCCAATCGATGTTATTCTCTCCCCATTTTTTATGCATCAAAGGAGGAATTTGAAGGAATAGAGAAAGAGAAAGCGAAGATAGTATACGGCTTCGGAGGGGCAGCTTAGAGAACGATGATTGGTTGATTTAAGTT